TCATGATTACCTAGAACCCTAAAAATGTATATTGAAAAAACATTATTGCCAAAAATAGAACATACAAAAGATACAATCTCCATGAAAATGTGTTACATATATATGTATGCATTAGGATACAAATATGATAAGAGAAAAAAAAGTGTATATTATAATGGACATGAACAGCTGGATGTGCTAGAATATAGAAAAAATAGTTAGAAAGGATGTTCATATACAAAAAATATATGAATAACTTTGTGGGTGATATGCTAGAAGTAATAGTAGAGCCAGAACTTAAATATAATAAAAAAGAGTTAGTGCAAATTATACATAATGAATGTTACTTTTATGCGAATGATATCTTATATAGAATTTGAACTCAAAAGGATGAGAAAGTTTTGCATTCAAAGCATATAAGACATTCTGTAATAGTTTTAGCTTTTATTTGTTTATGCCATGGATTATAACAGCTATTTGAAGAGCAATTCTAGGCCAATTCACATGTCAAGTTAAGGAAACTTTTGTTATCTGTTCTGTACAAGAAGATGAATATTGGAAGTCCAAACATATGCTTGAACAGGGGTTTTTTTTTTAAAAACAAAGGTTTTGATACAATCATTTATGATCTGTAAATATAGCTTTTACAAAAGGCGATGCCTATATTCGAAATATTGCATCTTGGATATATAAAAATTTTTTGTTCCAACCAATTGACCAACCATAATGCAATGGCAGAGAACACATTGGTTGTAACAAGAATAAATAAAAGCCTTGGTAGAAAACAATCTAAAATTATGACAGTTGGTATATAGATGAATATAGAAAAAAGCATAATCAAAAAATAATATTCCCAAATGATTATTTGGTAAAAGAGTTAAAAGAAGAATCAAAAGGCATTAAGCAAATACTCAAAAAATGCTATCTTTGGCCTGATGGAGGAGTAAACCTAATATGTAAATGTTGTTCTGAAAAAATTAAAGATGATTGAGAAGAGTTTAATTGCTATGCATAGAAAATTATTTTATTACAACCAGATTTCTGTGAACAGCAATTACTCTTGAAGAAAGCACTTGCTAAAAAAAGTCATATTTTTGAATGCTACCCAAAGTTTCATTATAAATATAACTTTATTGAACAGTATTGGTGCTTCATAAAATGAGAACTCAGTGCATCATGCAGTTACAATTATAATGATTCACTAAAATAGCTTTCAGAAGTTCTCAGTAGTGTTTCAGTATCAACTATTTGTAAGTTTTTACAAAAGTTATAGAGGTATATAGATGCCTATGATAAGGGTTTAGAAGGTAGAGTTGCAGAGTGAGCTGTTAGTAAATTTAAATCACACTGTGCTTGCCAGAAAATATTGAAAAAAATAATAAAATAAAATAAAAACAATCATCTTTATGTAGTTGTTACTAATCGATTTTTTTTTATTAGCAATTACATCTAATCAATCTCAAAATAAATAGCTTGCTTTTTGTACTGTAAAGTAAAGTTCAATGAGGCAATGAACAGGCTATTACATCAGCAGTATCAAAATTGTTGGCTTTCTTAGAGTGCTAACTTGCTGGTTTTTGTTTTAGAGTGATTATAGGTTGTGATTATATAAAAACAAATCTGACCTATATATATTACAAAAAATAGAAATAGTAGTTTTTACAGCAAGATGATCTAAAAAATATTTTTAAATACATATCTTGTCTTTGATTCTTTGAATGAGTGGACAGTTATATTCAGTAAGTTAAATGCCACTTTTATTTAAAAACAAGTAAGTCATCTTTGTGGATCCTAAACGTAAAATGCTTAGTAAGTTTATATACAATGTTAGATTTCTAATGACCAAACATAAATCTTTATTAAGTTATATTCAACTCTGTGATGTTCAAAGAATATCCAATTGATAATTAATCATTAATATTATTGGTTGTTGTTAAACTCATATGACAAGTAATTATTCTGACCAAAATTGAAACAATTCATATAATTGTTGAATATAGGCTTTTAGCACTATATAAGTTTTTTAGAGTTTGTCAATCAGCTCTAGAATCTATAGCACATGTCCAAAATTTGATATCAGACTCTTTTTTGAAATAGGGCATAATATTTGTACACCTACAAACTCAAAACATAGAATAACAGACTTTTAGTTCTTTGTATTAAAATGAATAATCAGATAGGTATATACTATATAAAACATATAACAACTGAACTATTGTACTTTGTTGTGTAATCCATTTAGTAAAAAGAATATGCCAATCTTTATTAGGCATTAAAATTTTTCTATGTTTAATGTGCAGATCAAAAATTTGTTATAAAATTGATGTGTTGTTCCATTAAGGTGATGTACATATTAAATCTTCTTTTTTATTTGTCAGCAATGCCTGAACTTTTAGATCTTTTAATCCAAAAAGTGCAAGATGATCCCTATTTTGGTACATTTTATAGTTCTTCCAATGACAATTGGTGTTTTACAAACATATTAGTATACTTCATTTCTATCTTTATAAACCTATAAACTACAATAATTGGCTAAAACTTGTCATAAAATAAGATAAGTTTCTGAATCACAGCATGTTAATAAAAATAATGTGTAATCAGAACTAGCATATAGAAGATTTTTATATAAAGAATATCTAATTTTTGAAACTTCTATAGAAAACTTATTAAATTTTATAAATAATGTAAAAAAACAAAATATTAGTAAGTATTTCTGATATAATTTTTTCATTATAAAACCCAAATACTACTAAACCTAAATGCTTAGTTTGGCCTCTAAACAATTCCTAATATAATAAGTTAATTGCTTTTGAAGGTGTGTTTTGTATATTACTAAATTTTCTTATACTAAACACAAAAAGCCTGATTGCAAGAGATTTGATGGGTTATTAACAATAGATAAAAAAAAGTTATAATTATTTATTACAGTTAGTATACTTATATAAAGATGAAAAAAAAGATTTAAAACACTATTATTTGCAATTTTTAGATTTGAAATCCACCAATCTCAAGCATATGGCCCATAATGGAGATTTGAGTTTATTTGCTCTTTGTTTGCAAGTTATACTGTATATTTTTTATTTTTTAACATTTTAAATAAGACAATATTTCACTATTTGTAATATTATAAAACTTCACTATTAAATGCCTATCACTTATAATTAATAAATGTTAATTATTTTGTACCCTTTAATTATGATTTATCAATTAATATTTATAATTATTTTATAATTATTATTATTATTTTTTTAGGCATTAAGGTGAATACATGTGACTTAGAATTTTATTAGTAGTATATATTGGCAAGCATTTGTTGAAATAACAGTATAGAGACAATTATAAAAAGAGTGTACAACTAGCCACTTGTATAACATTAGTTATTGTCAAATTTAAGAGTATGCCTAAAGGTTCTACACTAGTTGCTATACCTAGAACCTACCAGTAGATCCTCTATTTAAACACTCTGATTCTGTATCTATTATATTATATTAATAACTCTGATAAACTGAAAGATATGTCATAACTACTAAGTTATATTTAACTTTGTACTAAAACCTACTAAAGTCTTTTGTATCCTATACTTATAGCTGACTCAGTATTGCTTTTACCTAAACTATTACTTGCAGTCAGAGCTAATTATTAAATTGCTATACTTTTGTAAGTTTTATCTAAAACCCTGATATTTATTTTTTCAATATCTTCTTTATTGTTTTCTACTAACTGCTACTTAGGACTGACAGAACTTCCAATTCAGATAGCTTAATGTAGTATACCTTAGTATCCTTTTTCACTAGCAATTTTGACAGTCTGGTTGGTTATATGCTTTTCTGCATATCTTGTTATTCAGTTTATTTGTCTGTCTCTTTAGATGTATTTCATGAGCTTCCATCAATCTAACAGTATCATTAAAATTTTTTTGCTACCTTCTTATTTAGAATTTCTAAGTAAGTTTCTAACTTTTCAGTTTCTTTACTTTTTATGCCCAGTAGTCTTATTGTTGGCTTGCATCAAAGTTTTATACAATACTGATTATTAATATTCCTTTATATAAATATAATGTTATACTTTACATAAATGTTTCAAGCTTCATTTGAAATAGTGCAACTGAAGGTTACAGATATACCAATTTAACTGTTTGACAGAGACAGTTACTGTAATAAAAATATAAGTTTCAAAATTTATCATCTGTGAGATTTGAAGTCTAGACCTGCCACTTGAGAGTTAATAACCTGTTTGCTTTATTAGATCACTATATCTGTTATTTTATAATTATATTATTGACCAATATTTAATTATATTAAAAGAAATTTATTTTATAGTACTATGGCACTATAGTGCTAGTATATTGTAACCAATTAAAATTTAAGATCAGGTATAATATATAGATCATTCTTTTGTTTAATAAAAATATTAAATTTTTAAAAAATTAATTATATCTCAAAATTTTAACTAAAAAGTTATCTTTTGTATATTAATAAAAATAATTTCATGTAAAATTTTACTATAAGCTATATCTTGTCTAACTTTAATCTTAATTTTATTTTAAATCTAATTTTTTTTTTTATTATATATAATATCAAGTAGAAAAAATAAAAATACATAAATATATCAATTGGATATAAATATATAACTAAGGTTATTTATAAACTATATTATTGTTGCTATATATTAATGACATCTAGTATAATATTATCTTTTTATTTTCTGTTATTAGTTAAATTAGCTTCTATTAATTATTAACTACAGAAAAGAATAAAAAAGAAGCCTTTAAGAATAGTTTGATTAATAAAAACAGACATATATATTGAAATTTTGAAACAAGATTTTAGAAATAAAGATATTTATATTAATATTGAATATAAAAATAGAGTTATTAAGGTTTGAAGATTGAGAAATAAGTAAGTAGATGTTGTTTTTCTTTTTAGTAAAAGCAAAGATTTCTCATACTGATTTTTATTTATGATGTTTAATATTATGAGTTTGCTAGATAGAAGAGTTAAACTATTTGAGTAAAGAGTTAGATAGAGAGATGAGAAAATTGTTAGTTGGTTTTTTTAGAATTAGTTGCAGTTGCATATATTAATTAAGAGTTATTGTTCTCTATATAAGTAAGAGAATTGTATTGTATATGCTGAAGTTAAAATAAAGATTTTGTAGATAAAGAATTTGTAATATTGTTTTAAAGAAGTTTTTAGAAGATTTAATGAATTTAAGTATTAGTAATCTCATTGATAAGAATGT